ACATTCTCGACATACAAACTAAACAAAAATCATTTGACAACTATTGACACATTATGTTCATGCAACATTTTAGCTACCACATAAGCCTAAGGATGATAAAGCAGGAATCCCTAAAACATTACAACCTGTGGACCAACATATATTAGTATTCTGACATGCAGACAGGCCTGTGGTTGTTTGAGACGGCTAGGACGGCGCAATGAAAAAGAAAAAATCTGAACTGAAATGTTACATATGTGCTTAGGAGAGGGGTATTGGGTCCATTCTTTAACACACTTACTCAGTGTCTTTGCTCCGTACCCGTCCTCCCCTATTCCAGAGATGTCCTACACCACACAGTCGATCAGAGAGGCGAGGGGGGTGAAGAGAGAGAATGAAGGAGGATGGGAGACAGAGAGACAGAGGAAGAGAGAGACAGTAAGGTTGTTGGTGGGGCGGGCAGTAACGCCAGCAGAAGAAGGAGGACATGGGCTTCCTGGAGCTACCTACACACACCTAGACCTCTCAACCCACCCCGAGGATGCGTTTGTGTGAGCGTGTGCTGTTTTTATGTACCTACGTGTGAGAGTGCACGTGCGTTTGTGGCTACTTACGTTCCGAGTCACTGCCGTCTTGCTCGTCAGCGTCCTTGTTCTTGTAGAAAGGGAACTTGCGTGAAAAGATGAAGTTCTTTCTACGTTTTTCACTGAATGACTGTGCGGAGAGAGAGCATGGTGCAAACAGGGGGCTCTAAACGCTGTCACAATCATGCTGACAAAAACAACACAACGACCGGAGCTGGACGTGAGGGACAGCAGCAAAGAAACAACCACACATCCAATTGTTTCTTATTGGCAGGACCATTCACCTAAATGAAATGAGCAATTCACTCATATTAAATACGCTAATTACATTATTTTGGGCTCGAACCGAAAGCACTTGGATGATCCTGAATAGGTGATCTTTGTTTGTTGTGAAGGCTGATCCAAACCCTGCTGTCCATGACGTCACAGCACCTGAGCTGTTTTCAGACAGCTCAAATGTATTCAAATTAAAACATGATCAATAGGAATGAACATACAAGGGAGGTAAACAATGATAAACAAAAGACAAACTGAAGCTAGTTTAGTGCCATGCAAAGGCAAATGGGACTCAACAAAAAAAAAATAAAAAATAAAAATACTCATATTAAAAAAACAAGCATGCAGGACAGGTGCCATGCTGATCAAATGGGCAAAATCTGTGCTGCTCGTGTGTAGTATTATGATGCTCTGAAGGTGAATTGTTTTTAAAAAGGTTATGAATTGCAAAGAAAAATAAATGAGGTAACATATATGTGACTGAGGTGATTTTAAACGTGATTTTCTAGCTGATTTGGTGAACCTGAGGTCAATACACTGCCTGATATGAATGTAATTTTCCTGATAAATTACAATCTGTGATGGTGAAACCAGACTAGAATATGTCCAGATCATCCTTTACCACGAAATTAAAAGAAAAAAAAAAAAAAAAAAAATTATATGAATATGAATTTTATTAAATCAAGCCTATTTAAGGACCATTCATTAATGTAAGGACCATATTTTTTTGCATTATGAAATGTTATTGAAATTACTTTCCACCCAGCAGTCATTTCTGTAATGCAAAACCAAATAGGAAACAAACAACAAAAAAGGTGAATTTTTAGGTTTAGGTTGTATGTAAACATCATTGTAGTATATATATATTTTTTACTGAATTCAATTAATGCTTTAATAAAAAATAATCCAGACATGAGAATTAGATTTTTTTTTTTTACATAACAATAATGAAAATCTGAATTTTTATGCTTAATTATCAAGAATGTCAATGGTTCTAAAAATAAGCTTAAATGTCTTAACATTAACAAAATAAATATTTTTTCTTATGATCTTGGGGTAAAATATAACCCAGACATTTCTTAAATAGATTCACAGATAAATGTTTAGCAATAAAATAAATATACAATTTTAATTTGAGTGCTTTTGTGTGTATTTGTGTTTTTTTTTAAAAATATATTTTAGCAGTGTATGAATGAAACCAATAGCACCCCTGATAGTGATTAAAGAGAATATTCATAACTATGCTAATCCTCTCTATTATAATGCACATAAACAATCCTATAATCAATGCATTTTCAATCAACACTGAAATCCTATGAGCCATAAACCTGAAATGATACATATACAAGTTGGTGCATCTTAACACAAGACAAAACCACACAACAAAATCCTCAAGTAATCCATCAGTGCCAACACCCCCACCCCTCTCCCATCTTCAAAAGACAGAGGGAGAGAAAAAAAAAGAAAGAGGAACAAGAGACAAGAAAGCAAGGGAAATTTCCAGGCCCGGCTGCAATGTTGCTATGGATACTAGCGGGAATCATAAGGCTAAAAATCTGAACAGCGCTGCGGTTGTGTGCCAAACTAAAAATACACCCTACATCCTTCGGTTTTATTCAGTTCACCTCTCAAACACAAACACAAGAAATATTTACTACAGATGACCTTACAATACTGATCTCATAAAAGACGCATTAGGAGACACATTTATGTACAAACGTAATATTGAAGCTGCTTCTGTGAGCTGCGCTGCAGTACTGAGGCTGAGAGCTCAGAGTGAGCTGTCACACTGCGGCAGAAGGAGAGTCTCACACACACACTTTCACTCTGACTGACTGACTCAATGACCCACCAGCACAACTTGAAATGGGAAAATAAATTCAAGATGACAGGGCACGACAGAAACTAAGCCGGATAGACTGAAGAAAGGGAAGAGACAGACAGATATTACACTAGATGAGTGAAGAGACACAACAGGGGCTGCTGGTGAACTGTCTAAACTGTCATTAAATCATTGGGCCCTTCCTGCTAACACCTGAAAACTGGGGCGAACAGAATTTGGGATGTTGGCACTGATAAAACCATTTTCAAGACAATCACTCAACAAATATAACACTTACCCCTTTAGAATCGAGGCTACCGGGTTTTGCATTGAATTTAACTGTCTTCAGACGAGCTCTCTCTTTTCTCTCCACCCTGCCACAGTAATAGAGACAAAGTCAGTGAATGTTCTACACAAATGTACTTATACTACATTCCTACGGTTTCCACAAAAATATTATGCAGCACAAACTTTTGTGTTTTTTTTTTTGACAAATAATAATAAGAATTGCTTCTCAAGCACCAAATCGGCATATTAGAATGATTTTTGAAGAATCATGAGACACTAAAGACTGGAGTAATGACTGAATTGCTATCACAGGAATAGATTACATCTTAAAATATTTTAAAATATAAAACTGCTATTTTAAATTGAAAATACACAATATTATAAATTTTTCTATAATTTTGATTAAACAAATGCAGCCTTGGTGAACTTAAGAGACTTCTTTCAAAAACATAAACAAATCTTACCATAATCAAAACTTTTTTTTGTCCTAATTTTGTTTTACATGAAAAATTTTTTCCCTGATATGTCAAATCAAACAGAATGTTGCTGCTTTACATTTAAGACTTATTTATGTAAATACAGATTAGAAATTAATAGACAAGAATGTGATAGGTTAATATTAATGAACGACCCATTTTTGCTGCTTATTATTCACATGGTGTATTCAACACTTTCATATCAGAAGAGGAAAGAAAATTCTGTTTTCCATTTTATGTTCCCTTTAAAGAGCAAACTTAAATATAGGGCAGTAGGGTAACGATTAGAACTAGGGCTGTCACGTTTTTTTTTATTCAATTAATTGTATTAAAAAATACAGTTCAGTGAAAATATTAACTTGACACTCTACCTTAAAAAAGGGGGTACTCATGTTAAATTTTTTAAGAATTAATGAACATAAATTTAGGTGGCTGTACTAACTAAATATTGATATATGCAATTTACTGAGATTAATCTGATAACTTGGCATATCAATTAATTTGATCGTATTTTTACATTTCCTGACAGTTCTTATTAAAAAGGTAATGTTGGATGTGGTTTGTGGTTATCAAGTTACTAAAGGTAGCACAAAACACTTCAAAGGTGGTAATAAATCTGCACTGGTCACAGGTTCAGTCTTCAGTCGTGTAGGTGATTCAGCATGAAACTCACCTCCTCTTGCTGGGGATGACGCCCATCTCCTCACTGTCCCCTTCAGGCGTCACTCTCCTGGCCTGCCACCACTCATCATCAGATGCATTGATGACATGGAGGATGTCTCCATATCGGAAACTGAGCCCCTGACTGGGCAGACCACTATCCTTCGTCCTCTCATAGTCAAACAGAGCCCTGCAGAGAGAGAGAGACACACACACACAATGTCAGTTTTACAGACCTGACACATTCACGCAACATTTCACATCCGTCTGTCACTAAAACAGTCTTGAATTGGCAGTAATGGCTGACTCATTCTAAAGCAGCATGCGTGAAATGTGCAGATACAGCTGTAAACAACATCATATTATATGAATACATTTGAGGGGTATGACTAGTGCGCCATTATATGGTCTGTTTTAAAAAATAAACAGTTGAACAATAAATTTTTTTCTACTTATTTCCTGTCTCTTCTCTGCTACAGAATAGAAGTAAAAGTAAAAACATAGACTGCAAATACTAAGAATATGTAAATATTATAAACAACAGACATAATATCACATAATATCACTATATATATATATATATAAGAAATGAATACTTTTATTACAAAAGGCTGCATTAAATTGATCAAACGTGACAGTAAAGACTTTAACACTTAAAAAACACCTCCTCTTGCTGGGGATGACGCCCATCTCCTCACTGTCCCCTTCAGGCGTCACTCTCCTGGCCTGCCACCACTCATCATCAGATGCATTGATGACATGGAGGATGTCTCCATATCGGAAACTGAGCCCCTGACTGGGCAGACCACTATCCTTCGTCCTCTCATAGTCAAACAGAGCCCTGCAGAGAGAGAGAGACACACACACACAATGTCAGTTTTACAGACCTGACACATTCACGCAACATTTCACATCCGTCTGTCACTAAAACAGTCTTGAATTGGCAGTAATGGCTGACGTGTTGTAAAACAGCATGTGCAGATACAGCTGTGAAAGGTACAACAAGTGCCACTAGCCACGGTCAGCACATATTATAGAGTAGCACACACTCCTCATAACTGTGTGTATATTTCTGAAGAATGTGTGACACACATTGTTTTTTTAAATTGTGATATTATTTCACAATATTACTGTTTTTACTGTATTTTTGATCAAATAAATGCAGCCTTGGTGAGAATAAGAGACCTCTTTCAAAAAACTAAATCTTGCTGACCCTAAACTCGATTGACAGTGTAAACAGGGAAATCAGGTCTTTCTCAAATGCTGCAAACCTCAAAATATATATGATATATTTTACATCATTTTGATTGAGAAATCTCAGCTCCTTCACATAATAGAGAACCTCCGGTAAGTGAGAAGCACAGATCAGAAATGTGAAGCCATTTCAAAGGCAATCACAGTTTACTACGCACTCCTGCCATCTGAAGTGGGTGAATCACTATGCAGCGACAGAAGAAACCTCTCATTCATCCTCATATGGAGGAGCACTATCAAGAGAAATAGGCTAGTGTTTCAAGAATAACCATGATTCATGTACTCACCATTAGAAAGAGACATAAACTCTCTATTTAAAAAACAGATTTTACACTGCTGATGTAGACAAAGACCAAATGAATAGAAGAGTTTAACCTGAACCGTTTGAGGGAAGCATGTGCACTGGAGTCACCCACTGATCTTTAGTATGCACTTCAAAAATAAGCAGGACAAGTAATAGCTGTTTTGTTTTATTTTTGTACTTTCGATTCTATTCTCAAAATTTGGCCTGCTCCAGTTTTAAAGCCATGCTGTTTTCACCGTTATCTACCTCCAGCAGGGCTGTGTGGATGATCAAGCGGTGAAACACATTAAAAGGAAGCACTATAGCTGAGACGCATCCACACACAAAAGAACAGACAGGCTGCCACGGTCTCCTATAGGCCTGCCCCACTGAGTACACAATACAAGAGATAACAGCAATAATGCCCATTAAACTCCTTCCTCCAGGTACATTTAGTCACTGCAAGCCTAGCTGAAATGCTTCAATGCAGACCTGCGATAAGCTGAATCAGAGTTATTGCGTTTCATGTTTCTTTCTATTGTCTATACGGTTTCTAATTCTGTTTGGGTGAAAACCAAGGAGGCCCACTAAATGACACCCACCTCCTAACGGCAAATGCTTACAAAAATTGTAAGGGCAATCGAGGCAATTGGGGGATAAGCAAGCCAAAGTAAACCAAACTTTGACCCCTTGATCTAAATGTAAACACAATAAATATGTGGATGTCCGATAACAACAAAAACAGGCATCTATTAAAGACATTTATCATTTTAGAACAAGCTGTTCCTAAAATGCTGACATGACACCACACACTAAACAGCACTTCTGCATATTCAGCCCTGATAAAAGCTCTCATATAAGAAGAGACTCTCCTGAATAAAAGTGTGAGAGTTTGGGAAACAAAAAAAAAACAAACAAACAAAAAAAAAACAGGCAATACTAGCACACTAGCCGCATCTTCTCTGTTCACTGCCAGCACTCACATCACCTCTGCTTTATATTACCTTTTGTAACCATGACAACACATCTGTTTTGGAAAGGAAGGCTATGATGCAGATGCAACAAATGAGATGTAAACAACACAAAACTGGCCTAAAATCAATGAAGGGGCTAATGATGTAATTTAATAAAGGATGAACATCAAGTGTTCATGTATATATCTTAAAATATATTATATTTTTGTGTGGATATAAAAAGGTAAGTATTGTAACTGTGATTAAAATGATTCATGAAAAGTTAGATTACATACACTACCAAAAGTTTGGGTCGATTTCTTAATGTTTTTGAAAGTCTCTTTCATAAGTCTCTTATGCTCACCAAGGCCGCATTTATTTGATCAAAAATACAGTAAAAAAAGTAACACGGAATTATTCAATCAACAATCGATATATAATACTGAAATACATTACCGTTTTAAATAACTGTTTTATATATTTAAATAGGGCTGTCAAATCGATTAATCATGATTAATCGCATCCAAAATAAAAGTTTTTGTTTACATAATATATGTGTGTGTACTGTGTATATTTATATGTATTTATAAATTCATACATATACATGTATATATTTAAGAAATATACATATTTTGGATGCGATTAATCATGATTAATCGATTTGACAGCCCTAATTTTAAAATGGAATTTATTCCTGTGATAAAAAAGCTGTATTTTCAGAAATTGTTTATCCAGCAGATCCTTTAGAAAGCAGTAAACATTTATTTAAAATAGATTTTTTTTTTAAAACAACAACTTACTAACCCCAAAACTTTGAATGGAAGTAAATACACAGGCTTGATTAAAAATTCCCAAAACAAGTAAAATGTATCTAACATTACACAGCATAAAACATATAACAAACTAAAAATAAATATTTTCTCTGTATATTGTGTTTGTGATCAATATTATCCCAAGGATGAAATCAATAAAAAGATACACAAGCTACACTGCTGTGAGCAGATACAGTACCTGCATGACAAAATGAATGGGTTGAACATAATGGCTGGCACATATGCTGCTCTAATGGATGAAACATTCAATCTCACAGATGTAATTTCACAAGCATGCATTATTCCACAACAAACACAATAATAAGACAACAATCTGCACTTCCAGCTGTATTTTAGCAGAAAACGCTCTAAAAATCATGTGATGGTGCAAATGGCTCCATTTGGGTCACTTCGGTACAACATTATTCATAAACAAATAAACAGATCCATTACAAATTATCCTGAGTGCAAGAAGAAATGATCCACCACACTATACACAAATAAAGTGCTGTCTTCAATGTCCTCGTTAACCCTTGTTTCATTAAAGGATCAAATAAACACACACACTGGAACACATGCCTAGGGAAAAAAGCACATGTTCCCTCTCATCGGCCAATGAAGACGTTAAGGTTGTTATGGAAACTGCAAGCTATTGTACAGTTGAGATAAATAATATTTTTTTATGTTTGTATGCTGGCAGGTTTCTCAGCTTATTACTGTGAATTCATTTCTCCATGGCATCATTATGGCAGTGATGCTTCTCAAGACACTTCCAAAAAACAGCACGTGTTAGTGCAGGCTGCTGACAAAAACTCAAATTTACTGTCATATGACACATATTGAATAACGCTCTCTCTCCCCTCTGCAGGCATTATGTGCCCCTACGATAATAAATAGAACATATTCTTGTCTCTAAAGCATTCAGCCGATACAAACGATGAAACAGATTTATAAACTACCAGATGAAAGAACCAATCTGCAAACATTCTGTATTGCAAAAGCTGTATCTTATAGCATTATTTATATACAATTATAGCACTTATTAATATTTTGAATGAGCTTTTTATTTAATATTTTATTTTTGCATTTTTATGTTTTTGTAATTTTTATTAGTTTTTTATTTAGCTATATATACTTACAATGTATAAATTTTAGTACTTTAATTTATTTAATTATTAAATTACAATTTTAATTTAGTTTTTTTTTTTAATTACATTTTTATTTCAGTTAGTGAAACAATTTTTAACAGGTTCTGTTAACAATAACAACACCAGTTTAAGTCTGGCTTAGGGCAGGTTTTTGCACTGAAATACTGCATGCAAAATTGCCAAAACTCTTTAGTGAATTCGCCCCTGAGAGATTTTCTCTTGTGATTTATTGTGTGGGTCTTGCAGTAGAGCTGCAGGGCTGAATCTCTGTGTAACTGCAAGAGAAACAGTACAGGTACAGTATGTGTGTAATATACAGTGCTCAGCAGAAAAGGGTACATCCATGGGTGGACAGCATTTTTCCACTACAGCAAATGTCTGTAACATAATTTGTTAAGAGAGAGTGCTGCCTCAGTTCTTGAAAAAAAATGAGTGTAGTATTTGCTAAGCAGTAAGATAAAAGCTGAAGCCATCAGCATGGCAAAAGGGGGAAAAAAGCAATACATCTACAACACGCAAACTAGAAGAAAGTGTCAGAGTGCTGGCAAAGGTGCAGATAATGTGGTGCTTTTACTTGTTACAGAGAAATGTGGCGTTTAAAAGCCCTCTGAGAGTAAAGTGGAGTGGAATCTGTATGTGTAGATCAGCGGCCTCATAGCGATAAGAGCCTGGGCTAGTGAAATAACAGGACCCGAGCTGACATTTGCAAGAATGAATTACATACATTACAGCAACTGAAGATTTTATGTGATTATACATTTTTACAATTTGTGAAGAAAATGTGAGAGGTGCTTGTTAGTGCGAAGTTGCTGTTGGGGGTGGTTTGCTGGCCAAAGTCAAAAGAGCCCACCTTCAAGGTGGATATCTGGAAAATTAAACTAAAAACACAAACATAATATCAATATTCACGGGATTATAAGAAAATAAGTGAATCTCTAGCTCTCTCACTGTCACAGTCCCTAGACACATCAAAGCCAACTTCTCGCTAAATAAATCAAACCAGACATCTGTGCAATTTATATTCTGAAATTTACATTTGCGCTGGACTTTCCTGCATAATAAGCAGGATAAAGAGATGTATATTTCCTTCTCCGATCACACAGAGGAAGGGTGTTGTTATGGTTACATGTAAATGCTACTGCAGAAAAAGAGAGAGACTCCGAGAACGCTTCGAGGAGGTAAATAAGCAGTGCACACACACAAAACACAGACGCATGCTTCCGCGTTAAGAAATTGTGATGTTGATTCATTGTGACAGAAAAACTGAAACATGCTGACTGAGGAAAATCACTCAATAACTGACTCATATCCTATCCTAACTCAGTCAGTGTGTGAATGGAGTTGTGTATGCATTGCTTTTACATTGACATGTGCTTTCTATTCATAGTTTGCAGCCAACAGCGATCACACCTCTGCATTCATCTCACCAGAACTCAGCGGAGGCAAACTGGAAATTATACTTTTGTCATAATTTTCTGTTTCCCTCTACAGTTTTGTGGAAACTCCTGCCTCACAACCTTCTCCTTCCTCAACTGCAGAATTCTTAAAGTATAGTATACCGCAGGGGCCATATTGTATATTTATATTCAAGTTTCTTTTCCTGAGATACACTTATATTAGTCCATGACATGTTCAAGTAAAGTTCTTGTACCAAAACAGCAGTAACAAACAGGCTGTTTTTGCCACAAGACTTCTGAATGTAAATTATGTATTTTTTTTATCAGGATCAGCCAAGTTGCTGAATGTAAATATGGGTACTCAGCAGTTTGCAATAGTGTTGTTATTGTAAAATGGACAGTTCACCCGAAAAAAAAAAAAAATTCTGCTATCACTTACTCACCCTAGTTACAAATTTGTATGAGTATTTGTAGAATCCATACTATGGAAGTCAATGGCTACCGTCCACTGTTTGGTTAAAGTGTTATAAAAATCTGTTCTGATTTTAAAAATTGTGTAGTGTATTTAGACTGTGTTTTTTGCTGTTATTGTGAGTAGTCAATGGTCAAATTTATTCAGAAATCCAAGGGTTCACATACTTTTTCCTGTAACTGTATGCTCATGGTTGTAATGCAAATACCTTGATAAGAAGGGAAATACAAAATACAGTTTTCCATTATATAATCCCCATAACAAGACTCCTAAGTCGAGCATTAGGAAAATCACAAACCTAACAAAACGGTGACTTTAGCGAGATGATGTGTTCTGCAGCAAATAAATGACTGCCTACAAGGTCTGATTTCCTGTGTCTCAGCTTTTCCCAGCATCCGTGTTCTGCAAAACCAGCCAGCTCTTCGGACTGGCTATGGCACAGTACAATTATCTAGCACCCACAGAGGGGGCCTGCGGCATTAGACTGCGGCTGGGAAGGAGATATTGAGCATCTTTTAATGCTGTGGGAGCGGTGCATGATGTACATCATGAGGAGAGGTGTGTATATGTATAATTGCTGACAGGAGGGCTATTTATCACAATGGATCTCCACAGGTGCGCTGGTTCTGCTGAAATTTTCCACCTCACACACAATAACGAAGCCAAATCAGAAATCTACAGCTGCATGTTGCTACCAGCTAATGAGGAACTAATCTCTGTTCTGCTGACTGCATTGCGCAACATATCTGGGAGAATCATAATAGCTGTTCAGAAGAGTAGCCAAACAATGCTATGGCATGGGACGTTTGGAGTGAACCTGGAGGCTAGAATACATTACGTAGGTCTTAGGATTTTACTGTTTATCTTCATAACAATTACTTGAAAATATTTACAAATATTTAGTAGCCTCTGGAAATGGGCTCAAACTATTATCATGGTGGTTCTTTCTTTAAAACCATTTTTTAATTAAATATTAAATTAAATATATAAAAAATAAATATATTTTTAAATATATATTTGTTTAATTCTATGTATAAATTACATGATAATATTAAATATTAAATAACATATTATCTATTAAATACAAATACTAAAATAGTCAGTGAACGTGCATCGAAGACTGACACCGGAAGAGAAGAAATTGTGGAATAAAATCATTATTTTTGTTTTCTTTGTGCACAAAAAGTATTCTCATAGCTTCATAAAATTAAGGTTGAACCACTGGTGTCACATGGACTATTTTACCGATGTCCTTACTACCTTTCTGGGCCTTGAACGTGGTGGTTGTGTTGCTGTCTATGGAGGGTCAGAAAGCGCTCGGATTTCATCAAAAATATCTTAATTTGTGTTCCGAAGATGAACAAAGGTCTTACGGGTTTGGAATGACATGAGGGTGAGTAATTAATGACAGAATTTTCATTTTTGAGTGAACTATCCCTTTAAGAACAGAGAAGAGGTGAGCAAAGAGAGGTTTCTTGGAGCATCTTATAATGGATCACTGTTGCCACTTTCCTACTGATTTTAAATATCAATAGTTCTTCTAAATGTCATGTAAAACAATGTGATCCCCAATTCTGGCTGATCTAGGATCAGCGCTCGCACATAAGACAGCATGTGCTCCCTTGAGAGTGTGTGTGTGTGTGTGTGTGTGTGTGTGTGTAAGCAAGGCATACTGGACACTTATGAATTCTGACTCACTCAGATACCCTGCTGGTTCACACGCAAACCCCTGAAGTGTGTGTATGTGTGCTTGTGTGTATAACAAACATCTCGCTCCAGGCTGGAAACATGTCTCATTTCCCAGAGAGACCACACTCATGTTCACATCAATCCAACATCAGTCCCACATAACAAGAGTGTCATGGAGAGACACTTAACAGCAAGTTTACATGATCAGAGGCTGCTGGGATATCAGTATCCCATCTGTGATGACAGAAACATTCATTCCAAGTCATTCACAACCAAAAAATAAATAAATCATTTGTTTTTCATCTTGTTTTTCAGTAAAAATATGTAAACAACAAGATAAACTGTCTTGAGAAGCTAAACGGTGTGAGACAAGACTTGTTTTCAGAGAAAATCTATTTAAAATCTATTTGTTTTTATGTTTCAAGCATAAATCTTCGCTAGTTTTTGCTTAAAAAAAATAAAAATAAATTGCCATTGGGGTAAGGATTTTCTGAAGCTTTTTAGGATAATTTACTGAAAAACATGAAAAACACAAAGAAAATGAATTCTTGCGGTTCTATTAGTGTATGTAAATTTATGTAAATAGATGAGGTCTACCTGACATAGAGTGAGCGTTTTTGATTGGTTCTGAGGGATCCGGATCCAGAACTCATGCTGTGGTTCATCATCTGCTCTCGTAAGTCATGAATCTTGGCCTCGAAACGCCCGTATTCTGTAAACACAAACATAACCAAGCAAGAGTAAACATAATGCAACTTTTTTTTTTTTCAAATCAAACATCAAGCTCTGGAATGGCAACCCTAAAACCACAAGAACAGAACAGAGCACATGCAAACAAACAGTCTCAAATCAAATAATTAATAAAAAAGATCCCTCGGGAGAAATGCTGTCCAGAAAGGATGTGGTGTTGTAGAGTCTTAGTGTCTGAGATGACAGCTCCGATCGATACAAGATACAGTAGCTGTTCTGTGCTGACTTCTAGCACAAGGTCACACAGTCAATATAGGAAATGTAGAAGAAATGGAGAGAGAGAGAGAGAGAGAGAGAGAGAGAGAAAGAGAGATGGTAAAGTCATATTATGTATCTTCTTTGGTGCAAATGTATGATATCCGATAACATCCCACTTCTGTCTCTTTGTTATATGCAGGCTGATACCGAATCTCCACAGATTGATCATTCTGCAAGATAATAACCAGCCGACTGTATATTATCCATTAATTAATATATGCACTTTAAGACCCTCTATTGTTGTGTTTTGTTTCGCCTTCCTTTGGGGGGGTTCAAGCCTTAAGCCTCAAAATCCCACAAATATCAGAAAATGTAAATTTATGTGTGCCCTTGATAAAAACGAAGATCCCATTTCACAGCTATAATAAGATCCCATATAACTTCAAAAATATGATAATGATAGCTTCACCTGATTCATAAAACCTCTGCAAAAACAGAACCGTTCAAAAGTTTTGTTTGTAAAAACAACAGTTTTCAAAATTATAAATAATAATAAAATGGTTCTTGATCACCAAATCAGCTTAATAGAATGATTTCTAGGGATGCACCGATACCGATACTGGTATCGGTATCGGGCCCGATACTGGCGGTTCTTGATTACCAAATCAGCTTAATAGAATGATTTCTGAATGGAACAATGGCTGCTGAAAATTCATTGCATTCACAGGAATAAATTACATTTTGAAGTGGATCAAACAAGGTCAAAGTTGGCTTTAGGTTTTAGGACAACTTTGATGAAAGGTTTTGATCCACTTCAAATGTTGACTAGTGTATATTAAAATAGAAAACTGTTATTTTAAATTGTAATAATGTCTCTCGATATTTCTATTTTTACTATATTTTTGATTATTAGTGAGCATTAAAGACTAAAACTTTCAAATGCATTAAAATGCATCTTACCAACCCCATTAAAAATTGGTGTAGATACAATTTTCATTCAGAATAAATTACTAAATTGGCAAATAACAGTGAATTAAACATCAATTTTGAAGTAGAAAGACCAAAATAGTATTGTATACTCCAGCAATCTGTGTTTTATATACTTTAGTAAAAGTGTATTTTAGTGTTACACTATAGTGTATTTTTCAGGATGGCAAAGACACAGACACTCATGAGCTTTAAAACACTGTTTTGCCCTCCTAAAACAGGACTCATGCTCTTTCAACAGGTAATCTAGTGCATGGCAGTTTGTTGAGGGTGCTGCACACCTCAGCCCTGTTTCAGCAGAGAACTACATCTGCTGTGGCTGCTGCTGAGACCAATGCACACACACACACACACACACACATCGTGTGCTCAACCTGAGCACTCAGCAATGCCCCAAAGCCCAGTCTGAACACCATTAGACCAACCAAACCAGCACAGCGGCCCCAATAGTGCACCTACCACACCTGAGCAACATGTTACAGCTGATTTGGCTCCTTTTCTGGTTGCTTTTTTTATTCAGTGTCTTTCATTTTGTTTGAACTCATTTAATTGGTCTAAAAATATCTTATGCAAATAAATAAACCACTAATTAAGTAGATGATTTAAGCAGCTTCTGATGATTTAAATGAGCATGAGGGTCATATCAAAGGGTCTACTGAGGAATAAGGCTGATTTGAGAGCCCCGTCTGTCCTTGCAGGAACTCAAAGGTCAAATGACAAGTAAATTTTGTCATTAGGCTGCAGGCTGAGAGAGGAAGATCAAGGACAATTATGATGATGATACAATCAGTGATGTGCAGTAAACGCTTAAAAAAAAGACCTGACTCACAAATATATGCACATTCCCTCCCAATGAAATATGCTAGCCTTATTTAAATCACTCTGGAAACTAAGCTCTACCTAAACAAAAACAATGAAACAAAGAGATTCTTCTTCTCCAGAGAAAAAGACAGAAAGAGAGAGAGAGAGAGAAACAGATTAAAGAGTCTCAGAGTGGTGCAAATCTCAGACGGAGGATAAAGTAGAGAAGAGAACCCAAAACAATCCTGCAGTGAGGGATGCACTCACCCTGAACAAATCCACTCAAATTAAATAAAAAAAAATCTGCTGAGCACACAAACCTTCAGGAGATGTTTTTTGGGAACATCGTTAGAAATGTTTGATATTCTTTTCTAAATAAAGATCCAACAAAATTTATACATCGAGAGCTATTCGCCAAGGAAGTTGTCAGAAAACACAATGCCGAAATAACAATATCATGCACAGTTATGACATAAATTGCACTTTTCTAAAGTATAACGTTTTTGTCATTAGGCTGCAGGCTGAGAGAGGAAGATCAAGGACTATTATGATGATGATACAATCAGTGATGTGCAGTAAAAGCTTAAAAAAAATACCTGACTCACAAATATATGCACATTCCCTCCCAATGAAATATGCTAGCCTTATTTAAATCACTCTGGAAACTAAGCTCTACCTAAACAAAAACAATGAAACAAAGAGATTCTTCTTCTCCAGAGAAAAAGACAGAAAGAGAGAGAGAGAGAGAAACAGATTAAAGAGTCTCAGAGTGGTGCAAATCTCAGACGGAGGATAAAGTAGAGAAGAGAACCCAAAACAATCCTGCAGTGAGGGATGCACTCACCCTGAACAAATCCACTCAAATTAAATAAAAAAAAATCTGCTGAGCACACAAACCTTCAGGAGATGTTTTTTGGGAACATCGTTAGAAATGTTTGATATTCTTTTCTAAATAAAGATCCAACAAAATTTATACATCGAGAGCTATTCGCCAAGGAAGTTGTCAGAAAACACAATGCCGAAATAACAATATCATGCACAGTTATGACATAAATTGCACTTTTCTAAAGTATAACGTAAATATAACCTCAACTAAACCAAATTAAACACAATAAAACACACACACACGTGTTTGCAGATACACTCTCAATTAAACAGAAATGAATCAGCAACAGCAGAGAAACAGAAAAAATGAGGGGCTGGAAGAGAGGATGGAATAAAGGATAAATGAAAGAACGCATGAATGAAAGAGAGAATAAAAAGAGATTCTCACTCTTGAGGATGCTCGCAGACTGCAGCAGCGTGAGAGATTGACCGTTCCCTACACACAAGCAAAGACTGCCACTCTACCACCTCCTCTCACTTCTCTCTCACACACACTCTCTCCTCCAGACCTGCTCTCATTGGCTGGGACTCTAGAGTGGGCGGGGTTGAGTGTCTTACAGTCCTTCCTCCCCCTAAAGTAGTCCAGATCAAAAGCCATGCTGGATTTTCTCTCTTGATGTCGGCTTTGTGTTTTCAATCTGCAGCGCATTAGCTCGCTTAAAGGTAAACATGCCACAAATCCAGCAAATATTTCAGCTTTAACTGTCCTTCAAATCTTGTGGATTCCACAAACATATGAAGGGAATTCATGTACATAAGCAGCAGGCTTGTGAAGTAAACACATGTGAATCGAGAAATCAATTTATTATTAACCGTTGACTGGGGGTCAGATGGAAAGGTAAATACAGATGGATAAAAATACAATTACACAGGTGCAAAAGGAGAGTCTCACAGAGGAAAATAATCTCAGAGGTTGCTCTTATATAGCTCAGATATAGAAGAATGTTTCTTTTTAATGATTAGCCTAAAAGTCCTAAGGAGAAATAAAAATAGCCATAAATCTGAGTATTTTACTATTATATAGAGTTACACAACAGAGCTACAAAATTAAATCATTTAAAAAAAGTGATTAAACACCCTAAAAGTCCTAAGGAGAAATAAAAATAGCCATAAATCTGAGTATTTTACTATTATATAGAGTTACACAACAGACTACAAAATTAAATCATTTAAAAAAATTGATTAAACTATTTTAAAATAAAAAGTGTCAAAAATGAATCATTCAAAAATATAAACTAAAGTTCATCAATCAATTAATCAATCAATCAATTTGATCAGAAATATAGTAAAACCAGTAATATTGTGAACTATTATTACAATTTAAATGAAATATTACTACAATTTATTTAATACAATTTATTACAATTTTCAGGTTCTCAAGAAACAGTGATGCTTTTGTAAAAAATGGTGATACTTTTTTTTTAGGATTCTTTTGTAAATAGTTTTTTTTTGGTATTATATGTCATATGTCTTTGCTTTGACAAAAAAGGAAAAAAATATCTCACTGACCCCAAACTTTTGATAAAATATACACATTTTTCTTTTAATTAATAATAGTAATTTATTTTTTAGCCATAATTTATATCATACTTTATATTGCAGACATGACCATCTTAGCAATTTTTAAAAACTTTTTTCTCAGTAGGAAGCAGACCCAAGCAAAAATCACAATTTGATATCAATTTAATCTCATTGCATTCAAAGAGATCTCCTTTCTTTTTTTCTATCTATCTATCCATCCATCCATCCATCCATCCATTCATTCATTCATTCACTTATATGTGCTAAATCTAAACCTCTGAACTCCAAGACTCTTTTCAGATTCTACTGTAATTCACAAAAATTGTACCTTTCCCTCGAAAAGCGGCAAAGATCTACTGCACATGGAACCTTCTAGACAGATAAAAAGCTTTCAACCCCTGCCTGTCTCAGACCTGCATTTCAAGCTGAGAAATCCGAGGAAGATTACAGGCTGTTTGGGATGATGGATTACCACACGTCCAGAGACAAAGATAAGAAACTGTACAGCAGACGTATGTTCAGAGATTCTGTGCTGATATAATCAAACGTCCAGGTTAAAACAAGTGCATT